AAAATGTTAATTTTGTTTTTTTGATCAGTACTTTGTATACATTGATGTAAAATTCTATTAAACATACAGTAAAATTCTATTTTTTTTAATATTTAACAAATCAAGAAATACTCTATGCAATTATTTAATATGAAGATAAGAGTAAAAACAAAAAAAAAAAATTTTCTTTTTTTTTCTTTTATATATAATAGTCAATAACAACACATGAAATAAATGAACAGAGAAAAATATATATATTTATATATATACGTATATAAAAAAAAAGAACACTCTCAATATTCAAATTTTATGTTGTTGAAGATGATACAAGTGTATCTTGAGGATGTTGACCAATTGAAAGTGTATCAAAATTAAGATTTGATGTTTCAATATCATTAAGTGTTCCATCTTGATTATTTTTATTATTATTAATATTTATATCATCATCTTCATCAGGTAAAAATTTTATTTGTTCACGTGGTGCTAATGTATCCGAATCAGGTGGATATGGCCATTGATTAGCACGACGTGTTGAAGGATTTTTAACACATGCAAGACCTTGAAATACACGAACATTATCAAGAAATTCACTTGGAATTTTTGGTGTTGGTCTTATAAAATAAAAAAACAAAATAAATATATATGAATGTTTTTTTTTTCTTTTCTATGTTTATACCTAGCTATAGGTTTAGTCCATTGTTTAGGCATATCTGACAGTAGTTTAAGTGGTGTTATTGGAATAGGTACACTTGATAAAGAAGACATTGAATTATTAAGATCTCCTACTTTTGGATCCATTGGCTAAATACACACATACACTTACAAATGAATATTTTCAAAGAATTATAAATAATTATTTACTGGATTTGCAAATTGTGTTTCAACTGATTGATAATTAAAACAACATTGAGGATCATTTTTATATAATAGATGTATTGTACCTTAGATAAAATATTTATTAAATTTTGAAAATTTATCTATTGATTATTCATTCTTTTTTTTACCAGTTGAATGTCCAAATGCTGTACAATGCATACTTGTCGATACACTAAATGTTGTTATAATACCAGCAGGATTTGTCGTAAGATTAATTATTGGAGAATATGTTTGACTTAAACCACCTGTTAAATCAACTTGTGTATGATGTCCTTGCTAGAAAAAGAACTTTGATAAATTTATGTTATATTTTTCGAACAAAACTAGAGCAAATTTTACCGCTTCTCCTTTTCGTAACAACGAAGGTAAATACCATTGGGTATTTTTTTATAACAACCGAAGGTAAAAATGTTAGACTCCTTCTTGAAATCCTGTGGAACAAACTTTGGTCGCGTTCGGAAGTTCGTTTGTCCGAAAAGCAAAAATATCAAAAAAAAATTGCTATCTTCAGAGTAGACTAAAACCCAAACTCATACTGTTAGATTTTTCATTTCACATTATTTTATATTAGTATAATGAGATTGAACAATACACATAAATTTTATATTTTAGTCCTTGATGGACTGCACTAACAAGTTTTTTGTTTGTAAAAATAAATCGAAGAAATATTTACTTGTGATGCTACCATAACTGAAGTACTTGTCATTGTATGATAATGTAAAAAACATGGATCAATAAAAACAGGTACAGGTGCTAATTGTTGCATATTTCTTAGATCGTATACAACAAGAAATCGATCGAGATTCATATGATCCATTCTAAAAAGAAAAACACAATTACAAAAAAAAACAGACATTTTTATTTTTTTTATACTTTCGTGTAAAACCACATGTAACTAAATACATATTATTAATATCTAAATCTGATAAACTACCATGATGTGGTGTAAAACGTTGTATAACTTGAAGTGAATTTGGATCACGTAAATTAACAACACCATTTGTTGAACCAGTTGCAATAAAATTTCTTGTACAATATTTTAATATAATACAATCACCTTCATCAAGTGATACCTTAAAATAAAAGAAAAAATTTTTAAATATTTATTTGATATTATTGTATTTTCTTGTTAATATTACTTGTCGTAGTAAGGTTTTTTTATCAAAATCCATTTCACATAGTTGTCCACTATAACCACCGATATATATTTTCTTTTGTTTATGAGATTGTGGCATTAACATACATTGCATATTATCAAGGTAAGGAGCTCTAAAGAAAGAAAGAAAAAAAACATAATAATAAAGTCAATTAAAAAAAATACAAAAAAAAAACTTAATAAATCGATATTACCTATGATGAAATATATTTAAACCTTGTCTTGTATATAATGAAAGTGAATCAGATGTAAGGATAAGTGGTCCTTCAGTTATTGATAGTATACTACGAATATCTGATGTTGTTGATACACGAAAACCAGTGTATTTACGAAGTTCACAGCCATAAAAAGATGCCACACGACCCTTAATTATCATCAAAAACTTGTCTAGGGCAATCTTTATAGTTCAACAATAACTAAAAATCAAATCCTTAAGTAACGTAGAAAAAAGTTTAAATAAACTATTCTGATTATATCTAATGGCAAAACCAGGCAGTTGCCCGAGAAAACCATTGAAATTAATATTCATCGCTTGAGAATGTGTTGAATCTACAAAGATACTTTGGTAAAATTAATAAAAGTCAAAAAGTGTTCATTTTCATTAGCCTTCGGAACCAAGTTGCAGCCGTTCTACTCAATTTTTGACTTAGCTTTAGACATATTTTGGAAAATCGAATAACGGAGTTTCATCCATAGATAACTCTAATGACAGGTAGGGTACTCTGGAAGTTTCAGCTGAAAAGAATGTTGTGTTTTTATTGAGACATTAAGGTTTTTTCTTTAGTAAACTCGATTTTTGTATCATACTTATGGTCAGCGATTATTTTTTGCAAATTCGATATTCCAGCATAAGGACATCTTTCTTTTTTCGGTTGAACTTTGAAAATATTTTAAGGATCAAGTGGCCTGTGAATGGGTAAAATTCTGCTTTTTTGATTTTTCAGTATATATCTACAATTGGATCAACAATTCAATAAAACGATCGTGAATCAGCTCAAAGGACTATTGAGAAAAACCTTTTTTTGTTTGTCTTATCGAAATGTTCTCGTAGGTCTATTGTGAGTTGTTTCTTCGTGAATTTCTCAGAAGAAAATTTATTATACCTAATTAACTAATTAAAGAATATGAAGAATCAAGTAGAATTTGGAACTAATCACTAATATTAAAACGTATGCTTAGTAGCTGATAAAAGAACTTCTCTAGATGTCAAATCGCTTGTCGACCGAAACTATGTTCATTTTATGAATAATAAAAAATTCTATAATAGGTTCCTTTCTCAGACCTTCGTTCTTGAGATATCGAAGTTTTATTTAAGTTTTTCAACAAAAAAAAACTATAGTTCGTTTTAAGTCACGTAAAGCATCGATTGTTAAGTTTCGACTTTCAATTTACACAATCAATCAATCTTATTAATTATTTTTATTCGTACAAAGTTTGAAGTCGAAATTCTAACAATTAATGGTTCATATGACTTAAGGATATTAACATCATCTCAGTCGAAAAAGCAATCTAATACCTGAAAAGACTTCCAAATGTTTTTTTTTTCTATCAGTAAAACTAATTATATGTACTATCAACATTTTCATCTCAACACTTGCTGAATATCAATCACTATACCTCATTACTACCAGCCCATAGTAATTCTTGAGCAATATCAAATTCAGTTGCTGTAATCGATTGTGCACTTGTTGGATTATAAGCACTATTAAAAAATGCCATGGATTCTGAATAATCCAATGCATAAGGTGCATCATTAGTACCATCCATATCTAAAAACTTGTTTTCATCAATAGAACATCGATAAATACGAAAAGAAAAAAAAACTATAACAACAACAATAATCATAACATATCTGTATCGATCAATCTATCTGTGAAAATAGTTGCAAATAAGAAAAAAAAAGTATATAAAAAAAAAGAAAAGAAACATTGAACTGTTTTTTTTTTCTTTTAATTTATCTAATAATGTTCTTCAATTGGATTTCCTTCATCAACAAGACCATGTTCAATCATTGCTTTTTGTCGAAGTTTTTCTATACGTTCTTTTTTTTCAATATCTTCTTTTTGTAATTTAAGTATTTCTTCAATAGTTACTTCAACAAGTGGTACACGTAATGGTTGATGAAAATCTAATTCACCAATAAATAAAACATTTTCACCACGAATTACAAATAAACCACGTGGTATATCTGCATATTGACGACCAATACAAATACGTTCAAAAGCTTGATGAAGTACAAGATTACCTAAAAGAAATATATTATATTTTAAAGCTTTTATATTTATTTAATTTTATAATTATTTTGTAAGTTTTCACCTACCGAATTGATCAAGACTTCGTAAAAAAGCAATAAGTGTTCGACCATCACGTAGCATAACCATTAACTGTTCTAAGCAAATATGTATCATATGTATGAATTCGATTTATTTATGTCTTACTATCAACATCACCAATTAATGCTGCCATACCAGATAAATAATAATCATTGTTAACAATACTTAAATCCATTTTTTAATGATTATTATTTATAATCTGAAAAAAAGGATATTTATTGAGTATGCCTTTTTTTTATATTTGTTTTTTTTTCTATGTGATATACGAGGGTAATGTAACATATAATAATAAAAGGTTTCAAAATGACAATACAACAACAATGCATTGTTCTCGATCAATTTAAGCACAATTCTTACATAACTATTCTACTTCAAACAATTCACTACTCATACAATGTTAAATATATTTTTTCTATTTTATTAAACATTCAAATAAATATAATCAAAATATATTTATTGTTCATCTTATTTTGTAATAATCATGAATTTAAGAAAGAAAAACAAAAACTAAAAATTGACTAGAATATATATTTGTTAATGTCATAAAAGTAAATTTCAAAAATAAAATTGCTTGTATATAGATATATAAAATCGAAATATACTTGAGAAAATCGAAAAATTCTACATTCTATATGAATTTATTATGATTTGAGCATTTAATAACGACTAATATCTCGTCCGTATAAATGTGTACGAACCCAATCAAATGCAAGTAATGTTTTTGTTCGTCCTGTAAACATTTCTGTAAAATAAAATGATTTCCATAAATAAGCAGCACCACGACCTGATAATGGTTTTAAATTAAATATATCAAGTATTGGTTTTGTACCAGTAAAATCTAATACAGCTGAATCACCACCAACATATGCTAATGAACCCATATGTTTATAACGAAACGGTTTTAAATTATTTTGTTGATAATTAATTATAGTTAAATCTGATAATTGATTAAGTAAATCAGCTATATAACGACCTTCTTGTGATGCAACTTGTGCTGTTGCTGGTAATGCACGAACTTTTTTATCAGCTTTTTCAAGTATTGAATGAAGTGTTGCCATAGTTAGATAACCTGATTTATCTTTATCGGCTTCTTCAAATGCTTGTTCAATTTTTTTTGAAAAAAATTCAAGCTAGAAATAAAAAGATAATACTTTGCTTGTTATCAATAAATGAAAATCTTACTTTTACGAATTTATTTTATATAGTGTTAGAAATTAAACATTTTTAAATTTTAAAATATTGTTTAATAAGAATTTGAAAATAGAAAACTAATGTAAAAAAAAACAAACAAATGTTTCTATTCTAAAGTAAAATCACCATTCAATTTGTTCAAATTTAATCAGCAGATTATTAGCATTAGATATCGAATAGCTATTCTTTCCTTCTATAATAGAGACGTGTACGACACTGCGACTAGAAAACTTCTTGAATAAGCAGTGTGAGGACTAACCGCCTGTGTCTAACGTTAACTGCAGAATTTTTTCCTCATATTTATTACACTATTTTATTTTTGAGTACTTAACGATGAACAATAATATTAAGTTGAAAGTATCACTCATATATGTAAATGCCAGACAACGGATCGATTCGTATTTTCTTGGATTCGAGCCGGCCTACTTTTTAAAAAGTTCGAACCGAACGAAAATTGTCAGTAGATCGGGAACTAATCGAGAATAATTTGATACTTAAACGTTTGCCTATCCTCGACCCGCTATTTTATTGAGATATGCCGATGGTTGTTCTATAACTGACAATCTACTATAGATCATTGAAAGTATAAAAACAAAAGAGTCGCAAGTTATCTACATCTCTGTACTATTAGTCTATAACATAAGTTTTCTTCTGAAAAAGTAATTAATAGTCGAATTAAGTCTTACAATAAAAGTTGCCTAAAAATCATTGACATTTTGTTTTTTTTTGAATACCTGTGGAAATTCAGTAATTTTTCGTTCGACTAATGATCGAAATTGATTAAAATCAAGTGCTCCTCGATGTTCTGTATCAGCTTCTTCAAATAATAAATGAATACGATCAACTAATTTTGGTTGTTCAATTGTAGCACAATCACCAATAGCAAACATTGAACTATCATTAATACCTTTGACACGTAAATATTGATCAGTAAGAATACCCATTCGATTACTTTGAATATTTAAACCAATTATATCTCGTATACGATTTGTTAATGGACGTGCTTTAATACCTGTTGCCCAAACAACAACAGAACATGGAATTGATTTTTGTTCATTTGAACCTTTAGCTTGAATAATAACTTCACGTTGTTTAACAGCTTTAACAAATGTATTCATTAAGACTTCAATATTTTCACGATGAAAATGTTTTTCAGTATATTCACTTATTTGTTTATCCTAAATAAGATAAGAAAAATGTAAAAAAAAAAAACGAAAATGAAACACAAAATTAACAAACCATCATGGATAAAACATTATCAAGTGCTTCAATTAATGTTATTTGAACATCTTTAGCAACTAAACGCGGATAATAATGGTGAAGATCTTCACGAACTAAATCTGCAAGCTAAAAAATAAAGAATATAAATAAATATATTAAATCTCGATTTCTTTGGTTTTTTTTTGAAAAATTTTAAATATTAATTAATCATATCTCTGAAGCTTATTTTAAGTTAAGCAGTCAGTCAATGGACATAGTAAGTCAAATAATTATCTTGTATAAATTAAATATATATCGCTGATATTGCAATATGTCTCCTAAGACTATTAAAGCTTGTTAACGTCTTTCTTTTGAAGCTAAAATATGACACTTACATGTGTTCTTTACCGTCATTATACTAATACAAACAAAAAAAAACACGTTAAGTAACAAGAAAATTTCTAGTAAACTATAGCTGTGCTCTTTTTGAATTTACACCTTTATTAGCCATAATTAGGGAGCAGATGTTAACATACATTGATAGTTGAAAAGAATTAGCATTAGAATGAGTAATTGATGATGATGTAGTTTTCCTTGTTTAAATTTCTAGATTCTTTCGTTGTTCATTGCAGAAATGTTCAACCAATGAAAAGTCCATTTGCAGTTCAATTCTGCATACTCACAGGAAGTCTCAAGGCACTATTATTTATCTCGATAAGCTTAAAAACACTGATATTGATTAATTCCCAGAATGATAACCAAATGAGATCATGTTCTTTTATATTGATAATTACAGTATATCAATGCTTGTTATCATTGATATCTTGAATATAAGTTTTTTTTTTATTCCCCTCTGGCAAATTGATATTTGACTTTGAAAATTGATTATCTCGAGAAACATATATTTTTTTTTGTTGTTGAAAACTTCAGCTTGAAACTATGTTGCTCATAGTAAAAATTTCATTAAAGCGATTATCATTCTTCACCCGTAAGTCTTATTGAACCGAATTCTTTTAAACTTTTCTTAGTTTCATCGAGATCAACTCATAACCATAATATGAAGTAGAATGATTTTTTATAGTGGGATATGTTCTCTTGTAAATCTTACTATTAAAGCTATTCAACGCCTTTTCCCCATTGCCAAGGGAAAGAGTCTAATGTTCACTGTCTTCAGTTATTATGGAAATATACTCAATCATCTTTGATCATTTTCTTCTTTCCTTGCAAAGGAAAACATACGTAATGGTCTCTAATCTCCATTACTAAGTGAGAAAGTCGTACGGTCTTAACTTACAACTTTCACTTTTTCAATTTTTTTTTGTTTGTACAAATGATAAATCTTTACATATGTTCTTATCGTTTCTGTTTTTAATCTATTATCTTGAAATAAAAGGTCACTAAGTACTAAATAACGAGCTGATTGAAACCATATAGTCTTATTTTAACAGATTAAAAGAAAAATGTTACCATATGTGTTTGTTTGTTTTTTTTAGACTTACTTCAGCAGCAAATTCAACACCTGTTGGTCCACCACCAACAACAACAAAATGTAAAAGACGTTTTCGTTCCTCTTCTGTTTGTGTTGGTGTCATAGCTGATTCAAATGCATCACTAATAGCTGAACGTATACGTCTAGCATCAAGAATTTCTTTAAGAAAATGTGCATGTTCTTCAACACCTGGAATATTAAATGTATTATTTTCTGAACCAATAGCAACAATAAGAATATCATATTTCATGTCAAATTGTGGTCGTGTTCGAGCTAAATTAAATTCATTTATTCAAAAAAAAAAAAAAAAAGATTCTTTATTTTTATTTCTACCAGAATCTTTAATTATTCTTGATGATGCACCACCTTCACGTTTCGATGGTACAAATATTGCTTTAATATCATCACCACGAGATACAGGACTTGAATCTTGACTATTACATGTTATAGTTTTCATTTTTGGATCAATATTAACACAATGTGCTTCAATATATTTTATTCTTGGTCCAATAAGTGAACGTACAGATTCAATTACTGTTCGAGTTTCAACTGTACCAACACTAACTGATGGTAATAATGGTGTCATTAAAAAATAATTACGTGGTGATACACAAACAACTTCATATTTATGACTATCAATATGTTTTAAAAATGGTACAGCACCCCAACCTTGAAAAAAAGAGAACTATCTTTATTTAAAAATAAAAGATTATTTATCTGTTTAACCTGTTCCAAGAATAACAATACGTGGTTTTGTACCACTAGAATTATCTGAATCATTCATATCTTGAAACCATTTATAGTCACGATAATTACGATAACCATAATAAATACCAGAACCAACAATAGTAACAATTAAGAGATTTTTTAAACGTCGTTTTAATTTTGTACCTAGAAATAAAAAAAAAAAGAAAATTTTAAAAAATATTCTTTTCAAATATAGCAGAAGATTTTTTTTTGCTTTTTTTTTTCTACGATCTAAAAATAAATTTAAGGATTAACAATCATAAAATGTATTAACATTTTGTTTTATAAGCTAATTAATAAAGATTTCTCATTTATTAGAAAAAAAAAAGAAATCTCTTCACATACCAAAACTTTCTTTAACTGTTTGTCGATTAAACCAAGCAAAATTCCGAATAATAATTGGTTTAAATTGTTTTAATGATAAATTTTGAAATTTGCTCATAATTATATATTCCTAACAAAACAGAGTCGAAGGAAACAAAAGAAAAAATACTCTTTTAGCTTTACAGAATATATAAATTTAGAAACCATCATGTGCATTCCGCACGCAAAGAATATATTTCTGTATTTTTATTCGTTAAATAATAATCAATTATAAACAATTATTTGATATTAGTGACATCATTTTTAATTTATAAAAAATTATTAAAACAAATATAAAAAATGTAACATTTTTCTATTACAAAAAAATAAATTTTATAAAAAATTTCAACACAAAAAAAAAAAAAAAGAATTTTTTTATTTCTTCATAAACTATTATATGATTGGTTTATTTCTTATTCATTTATCTATAAAAGTATGCAAAACATATATCCATCATAAGTTTGTTCATTATTATAACTACATTGCTTTTTCAAACTTTTATCATTAATAATGTTTTCAAACAATGATCAATCTCAAATTGAAAATGATGATGATGATGGTGATATTACAACTGAATTATGGCAAGAAGCTTGTTGGACAGTTATATCATCATATTTTCATGAAAAAGGTCTTGTTCGACAACAACTTGATTCATTTGATGAATTTATTCAAATGTCTGTACAACGTATTGTTGAAGATTCACGTCCAATTGAATTTCAAGCACAAGCACAATATTTAACATCATCAAAAGAAATACCATCAAAATATACATTTAAATTTGAACAAATTTATTTATCAAAACCAATACATCGTGCTGATGAAGGTACTGTTTATTTATGGCCAAATGAAGCACGTTTAAGAAATTTAACATATGCTGCACCATTATATGTTGATGTTAAACGAACAACAATAAAAGAAAATGAATTACCTATTGAAAAAAAATTTGATAAATTACATATTGGTGATATACCAATTATGTTACGTTCAGCATATTGTCTATTATCAGAAATGACGGATCGTGATTTAACTGAACTTAATGAATGTCCATTAGATCCTGGTGGTTATTTTATTATAAATGGTAGTGAAAAAGTTTTAATTGCACAAGAAAAAATGGCAACAAATACAGGTTTGATTTAAATTATTTTATGATGTTTTTTTCTTTGTTTGTTTGTTAATATTTATTTTTTTTGGTTTTAGTTTATGTATTTTCAATGAAAGATTCAAAATATGCATATAAATGTGAAGTTCGTTCTGTTTTGGAAAATTCTAGTCGACCAACAAGTACATTATGGGTAAATTTAATGGCTAAAGGTGCACAGGTTAGTTTAAACACAATATTTTTATTAAAAAAAAAACTCACTTGTTTTTGTAAACGATTAATCGCTTTTGAATTCGAGTTCTATGCATAAGGTAGACTTCAGTGAGATATTAACAAATCTTAATACAATAAGTCATCTTAAGCATTTTACTAGAATTTCAGTTTATAACTTGGCATAAATCGAATGATAATATTTCGACTTAAGATTTTACTTACAAATAGATATATTTGTTAGTAGAATGTATCTATGAAATTTGTTTTTTTTGAGCTGGAATGTTCAAGACATCCTATTAACAAATAAATCGATTTATATAGCGTTGGATATGCGATTTTTTCTTTATTTAAACCTTCATACAGACTATCAAAGTACGGTTCGGCTCGGAATATTTGGAACCTGACGGATCCAATATGAGTTCAAACGGCAGATGTTAATAGAAGTAGTTCGCATCAATGATGACTTAAAAGAAAAAAGAAGAAAATTTTTTATTCTATGCATATATAGGGTGGTAAAAAAAGTGCTATTGGTCAACCAATTATTGGTATATTACCATATATAAAACGTGAAATTCCTATAATGATTGTTTTTCGTGCACTTGGACATGTATCTGATCGTGATGTACTTGAACATATTATTTATGATTTTGATGATATGGAAATGATGGAAAAAGTAATATTTTTGAAGATTCAATAAATATTTAGACAAAAAAAAAAAAACAAAATTGTTTTATTATTTAGGTTAAACCATCACTTGATGAAGCATTTGTTATACAAGATGATAAATTAGCACTTGATTTTATAGGTGCACGTGGTAGTCATGCTGGTGTACCACGTGAAAAACGTATACGTTATGCTAAAGATATATTACAAAAAGAAATGTTACCACATATTGGTATAACACAACATTGTGAAACAAAAAAAGTTTATTTTCTTGGTTATATGGTTAATCGTTTATTATCAGCTGCATTAGGTAGACGTGAATTAGATGATCGTGATCATTTAGGAAATAAACGTTTAGATTTAGCTGGTCCATTATTATCATTTTTATTTCGTGGTTTATTTAAACGTTTAATTAAATATATAACAGCTGCTGGACAAAAAACTGTTAATCGTAATCGTGAAGTTGGTGATTGGGTTGTACGACCTGATATAATAACACAAGGTTTAAAATATTCATTAGCTACAGGTAATTGGGGTGATCAAAAAAAAGCACATCAAGCACGTGCTGGTGTTAGTCAAGTATTAAATCGTTTAACATATGCATCAACATTATCACATTTACGACGTGTTAATTCACCTATTGGTCGTGATGGTAAATTAGCTAAACCACGACAATTACATAATACATTATGGGGTATGATATGTCCAGCTGAAACACCTGAAGGACATGCTGTTGGTTTAGTTAAAAATTTAGCACTTATGGCATATATATCTGTTGGTTCACAACCACAACCAATATTAGAATTTCTTGAAGAATGGTCAACAGAAAATATGGGTACAAAAAAAAATAATATTATTTATAATATGAAAAAAAAATTTGTTTTCTTCTTTTTTTTTAATAGAGGAAATAACACCATCAAGTATTCGAAATGCTGCAAAAATTTTTGTTAATGGTTGTTGGATTGGTATTCATCGTGATCCTGATCAATTAATGAATACACTTCGTCGTTTACGTCGTCAATGTGATATTATTGTTAATGAAGTATCAATGGTACGAGAAATTCGTGAACGTGAAATTCGTATATATAGTGATGCTGGTCGTATATGTCGTCCATTAATGATTGTTGAAAAACAAAAATTATTATTAAAACAACGACATGTTGATTTACTTAAAGAACGTGAATATACAAATTTTGGGTAAGAGTTTTTTTTTTATTCCTTTTGCAAAAAACAAATTTTTATTATTTTAAAAATTTAGATGGCAAAATTTAGTTGCTGAAGGTGTTGTTGAATTTATTGATTGTCTTGAAGAAGAAACAAGTATGATTGCTATGGTACCAGAAGATTTACAAGCTAAAGGAGAATCAACATATTGTTCAACATATACACATTGTGAAATTCATCCATCAATGATTTTAGGTGTTTGTGCAAGTATTGTTCCATTTCCTGATCATAATCAATCACCACGTAATACATATCAATCAGCTATGGGTAAACAAGCTATGGTAAATAAATATAATCAATTGTTTTTTTGTTTTTTAAATTAAAATAAATATATAATGTTGTGAGTTTTATTTTTGTTAAGGGTGTTTATATAACAAATTTTCATATTCGAATGGATACACTTGCACATGTATTATTTTATCCTCAAAAACCATTAGCTGCAACACGAGCTATGGAATATCTTCGTTTTCGAGAATTACCAGCTGGTATGAAAAAAAAAATATAATTTTAAATGTATATATATATTTGTATATTTAGGTATTAATGCTATTGTTGCAATAGCATCATATACTGGTTATAATCAAGAAGATTCAATTATTCTTAATTGGAGTTCTGTTGATCGTGGATTTTTTCGATCAGTTTTTTGGCGTTCATATCGTGAAGCTGAAAATTCACAAGGTGATGCACATAAAGAAACTATTGAAAAACCACAACGTACAACATGTGCTGGTATGCGTAATGCTATTTATGATAAACTTGATGATGATGGTATTATTTCACCTGGTGTTCGAGTTAGTGGTGATGATGTTCTTATTGGAAAAACAGTTACTTTACAAGATACAGAAGATGAAGTAAGAAAATAGATATGATTTTTTTTTAATATATTAACCTAAAAGAAAATATTAGATTATTCAGATAATAAAAATTCATGTATAGGACATATGCATTAGTACGAGTTTATCAGTCATAGACTTGGTAATTTTGCGTATATAAAGAACTGAATACACATAGAAAACTTTCAGAATATGAATCCTTTTTCATGATTAATGTATGTTTTAAGGAAGTTTTCGTTATTAGATCACTATGTTGTTTCGATAGAGAAAACATCATTGATATTGAAAGAGGTTCGCTACAGATATGGCACCGGTACCATTACGACTTTTAGACCGACCTGTCTAACCTTTTCAGACTACTATCAGTTTTAGTTGTCAAAAATCCAGACTAGTTTCATCTCTATATTAGATGTGTGTCACGCGATAAACCATGTTCTCCATATCTAAACCACTTTTTTTCGGACTGTGAATTATCGATATATCATGCGTTACCGATAGACCGGTTCCATCTCTGGTTCGCTAGTCAATCGATATCTGACAAAATCTTAAATTGATTGCTTGAGATTAATATTAATGGCTGATGAGTCTTTGAGAATGCACAAAAAAAAAGAAACCGATTTTTTATGATCATATTAATTTATTTTAGTTAAATAGCAAAACAAAAAAATTTCTAAAAAAAGATGCTAGTGTATTTATGCGTGCAAGTGAAACTGGTATTGTTGATCAAGTAAGTTCTTTTTTCTTTTTGATCTTAAAATAAAACTTTTTCCTTGTTTTCTAGGTACTTCTATCAATTAATGATGAAGGTTATAAATTTGTTAAAATAAAAGTTCGAACATTAAAAATTCCACAAATTGGTGATAAATTTGCTAGTCGTCATGGACAAAAAGGAACATGTGGTATACTTTATCGTATGGAAGTATGTATATACATTTATAGTTCGAATGATAAATAAAGAATAGTTAATGGTTCGAATCTATATTCGAGACATCGATGGATGACTTAAGTTATTCTAATACTATTTAATTCATCATGGCTGTTCTCGTA